TAACCTTTCGTTATCTTAATGAATATCGCACTTATTCGAAAAAAAAAAAAAATACAATTGAGAGAACATAGGTACGATTGCAATAGGCGATAAGATGTGAGAAAGTAGACTTAGATGTGCTGACCATATACAGTACAGATCCAATATAGTGCCTATTAGGAGGTGCGAGTTAGTCTAACTAGAAGGCTAAAAAAAGATAAAGGAGTAGGCCCTGACGGATATAGTTGGAAGTAGTGAGGAAATATATAGGGATTTATGGTCTCACTGAGGGTACGACACTTGATATAGCAGAATGATAAATCAAGATTTATGTAGCCGATCCTAAATAATCAAGAAAAAAAAAAAAAGAACAAAATTTTTTATGCTGATGAAAAAGATATCCAGCTGTAAAAGTAATGACCAAAAGCCCCAAAATCAACATTATGCCTCTTTTCTTATACAACAGATGTAACGCATGTGAATGTGATATGGCACATATTCTCTTGCCATATGGGTTGTGTATGACTAACTCTGTCCTTTGAATCTACGATAAAAAATAGTACAGTGCATGTGAATGTGATATGGTATATATTCCTTTGCCATTAGGATTATATATTAGGATTATATATGACTAATTCCCTTAAACGATCTTATTAAAATAGAATATATATCTCTTGTGAAAGTGATATTGTTGGTGTAATCGCCTTAATGTTGAACCTTTTGCCATATTTTTTCCTTCGTCTCCATCTCACTTTTTCATTCCATCCTTTTCACTTTGTCTACATCTTAGTTATTTTTACTGTTATTTATTTATTTATTTTATGTTTAAAGGGACATTGTATTAGAGAGCAATAGGAATATATTTTATAACAAATGAATAATTTGTGTTAATTTGTTATTCAATGATCAAGGCGTTAAAGAGCTTCAATAAGACTACCTCGATTATTATTTTGAATTATTTCAACAGCTCACGTTATTTCACTTGTCCTTATCATTTAAAAAGCACAAGTTTTTTTAGGAAAAGGAGTAATTTTATGAATTTTTTATTCATATAAAAAGCTGAGAATCTTCTTTTGCATTGCGCGCACAATTAAGCTCATAAGGAATTAGACTTGACCCTTGTTAAGTACAGGTTCAATTGAATGGCTCTTAAATGCTGTGCGTGGAATCTTTAAACCCGACCGGTTGATTTTTTGACAAATAAAATATAAAAATAAACCATTTAACACATATCTCAAGAATACAAATATTTATGTGGTTCACCCCAGAAATGCTTCATCCACGAGCATGACAAACTGAAATCTACTAAAAGTTAAATCAAAGATTTTAGAACAAACCTCGACCAAAACAAAGTCGAGCGAGCCCTTTTAAATCACTCTCTATTCTTGCTCTTTACTTACGGCAACCATTACTGACAACACTAGATAGAGACGCAAGAGTTGACTTTTTCTTACTAAAAAAGAAAACAGCCCAAAATCTCTATAGGAATTACTTCTCTATAAGAAATATGCCTCTCAATCTTCGGAAGTCTACAAGAGGCACCATCATAATATTTCTCTCTCTTCTATCTAAGAAGAAACCTTGCATCTTATAAAAGAGAGGCTCTGCCCTCCTCTCTCTAGAGGAACCATTATTCGTATATGGTGATCTAAATATGACACACAAATTTTCTGTACTTTCATCCCATATATATAAGGTTAGGAGCCTATGCTAAATAAAAAACTTCTTATTCATGTTACATACATCTTAAAAGACCAAGATATATATCCAAGATTCTTAATCCTTTTAGATTTCTATTTTCTTTAAGAAACTTATCAAATATCAATATCAATATCACGTGATAAAAAAATATTTTAATCCCACATAATATGAGAATATCACAATCCCAAATAATATAGGATTTTTTTATGTTGGTGATTTTGAATAGCACCAAATCCAACATTAAAAACTTCGTTATATTCTTTTCTGTCTGTTTAGGGTTCAACCTTGCAACATGAGAAATTTTAGTTAGGCGTTTATGTACATCATTTACATTTACAAGAGAGGTCAATCATCTCAGCCATTAGATATTAAATCTGAAAGCTTAGGATGTGGCATAAAGTTTTACGATATGTTGAATGACTTCCAGTCTAGTTAAAGGCATAACTCTGAATATCAAAATTGAGTCAATGGTGATTGTGATCTTCTTGTATCAAAAGTGGATGATCTTATTTTATACTTTAGATTGTATATGATAAGACCATTTACCTATATTACAAGGAGGTCACAAATATCTCTAGCCATCGGATTTCAAATTGGACATCTTGGAGTCCATTACAAAGTTTGAGAAATTTTTATTTGAAGTTTGAACTTTGTTAAGAATACATTTACAACCACCCGATTTGAAATCTGACGGACAATAGTGATTCTGACCTCCTTATACAAAAAATAAATGGTTTATTTGTATATTTTTCTTTGTATTTTTTCTTTGTGTTGCCTAGTTGGTATTATTTTAAAGGAAAATTATAGATACCCCTACAATTTGTATTTTAGAGGTATCCTACCGCAAGTACTTTTGATACCAATCTGTTAACCCTAACATTAATTTTCCTTTTTCAACCACCTTGCAAGTAAAAAAATTAACCTTTTGTTTTTTTATCAAAATACACCCCTCCCCGTTTTAACCCATGTTTCCAAAGCATGACAGTCGGTCCGGCACAAAAATGGGTAACAGGCTGGCACAAGTTGAATATAGAGTCAGTCTGACGCATTTGTGCTAGACTGGCTTTGTACAAATTGTGCAATGTGCCAGATTGGTACAAGTTGAATATAGAGTCGGATTGGCACCAAAAATGTGTCGAATCGGATCTATAGAAGTTGTGTTGGTACAAAAATGTATTGGGTTGATACAAGTTGAATACAGAGTCGGTCTGGCATAAAAAATGTGTCAGACGAGCTATGTATAGGCCGATCTGACACAAAAGAGAGAGTGCGAAACATGGCCATTAAGAAGGTATTTTTTTTCTAATTTTTTTTTAATATTTTTACTTTGGATGTGGTTAAAATAAATAATAACAATATTGGGTTTAATAGTTTAGTATCAAAAGTATTTGGGGGCCTACAAATTGGGTGTATCAATAATTTTCTCTTATTTCAAAAAATATATATAAAGAGACCATTTACTTTCGGTAAATGTTACAATCACTCATCCATTAGATTTCAAATTTGGGTAGTTGTGAGTGCGTTATTGAGTAGATTCAAAGTTACAAAAAAAAAAACAAAAACAAAAAAAAAAAATTCAAACTTCATAACACATCCTAATATATCAAATTTGACATCTAATAACTAGAGGTAAGTTTGATTTTCTTGTAACAAAATAAATGATCTCATACTCTACGATCCCTTATTTTACTTACAAATTTAATTTGTATTCAAGAGGATTTCCTGGTCATAACACGGCCAAAAAGTCGTAAGTTTAAGGTCTATAGTAGCCTAACTCATATCTACCGTGAAGAAGAGTGTGGTGCTTTATCCACCGTCCATTTATGATGGACTATGGACTTCGCGCTTGATGATTTTCAGGCCATCTCCGTCATCTATTATAAATGGGTGAGGTTTGTATAAGGTTGACTCCTTATACTGTAGAAGTAAGGCGCACTTATAAAATTTTCTTAGAGCATCGAGCTTCAAAATCTCTTTTTATCCTCAGCTATAAAATTTAAAATTTAAAAATAGTATATATTGTAACACTAGAAAATAGATGATCGAGATAACTTGTTAAAGATGATCAATTGGAGGGTTCTCCTTTGCTTACCGTCTCCACCGTAAGATTTTTGAGGTGCATCTTACTTGAACGGTATAAGGTTGTAATCTTATATAACTTTTTCCATTATAACTTGATGGTAGATGCATTAGGGGATAAATAATAATAAATGCATTCCTTGGCAATACATAAAAACCGGAGGCTCAAACCCTTACAATAAACACAACATTATTCTTGATAATTTTATTTCCCAAATTGAATTAGCACATCACTTTTAGTTAAGGAAAGGGATTGTATATAATGAGATCATTTACTTACGGTATAATGACTTATAGAAGGGACATCATCGGTCAAAAACCTAAAGCGCTTCTTCAATACTTTTAAGTCTAGTACGTAAATCTTGGTGAAATTTTTGCAAAACTTCAAATCATCTAACTTCTTTAAACGAGGATTACCCTTGAGAATGCACTCCAAGAAGTATGTGAGCAAATTTGGGATCTTGAAAGTCCGATATTTGATTTTTATAGTAAATTTCGGACCTTCAATATTTGAAATTCTTTTTGAATCAGTTTTGAACTTTTTAATGTCCGACGTTTTATTTGAAAACAAAATTAAACTTTCACACTTTTAAGGTTCAAAATCCTAATTTATTCCTGTCCTCCAATCTCATAGAATATCATTTTTGGTCTCTCTCTCTCTCTAACATTTTTCAACTTCCATTACTCCTCATCTTTGCCCTTTCCCTGTCGCAATCTTTTTCATTAACAGCACTCGACAATTTGATCTTCTGTACTTACCCATGCCCCTTCATCTTTAGTGGGTCCTTCTATTGAGTTGTGATCTACAAATCCAATATTCCCCAATGAATCAAACCCACCCAAACCCAATATTCCCAAACCAATTTTCAATGAAACAAAACCCAGAAAGTCCCAAAAAGTGTGGGCTCCATTAATCATTTACAACGCGCGAAAGCAACCCTCCATGCGTTACCTGCCCAACCCAACCCACCCCAACCCAACCCAACCCAATAAATGGACTACAGCTTTCTAGAGAGAGAAAGTGGATTATCGTTTTACGCCTGCATTTTAGAGAGAGAAAGTGCCTGCTTGTTTCTTACCGCCCACAGGCCACGGGGTGAAAATAAAATAAAATCTTTTTGCTTGTTGAATTTTTCATCATTAAATGGGATTATGATATTTTTTTTTCTATTTCCTCCGTGTTTTAGGACGTGATAGGGGGTTTCCGCCCATTTTAAAAGATATCAGAAACGCGTTTAGAGAGAGAGAGAGAGAGAGAGAGTTGAGTAAATTTTGGTTTTGGGTTTGATCGTTCTACCTTCTAATATCTTCTACGTCTACGTCTGCACACAGAGAAGAGAGAAGAAACTCCTTCACGCGCCTCTCATCTGCACACACAGAAGAGAGAAGAGAGAAATAGAGAAGAGAGGAGTGAGAAAGAGAGATCTTCGATTGCACCCGATCAGAGAGGGACAGGAGCTGCAACTTTCATTTCACCTGGCTTCCCAAATCCTTCCTCTCTTCGATAGAGAGGGACCTCCAGCCGTCCTTTTAAGGCTGTGTAGGGGCGTTTAGAGAGAGAGAGAGAGAGAGAGAGAGAGGAGCTGCGAGTGTGTCTTGTAGTTAGGACGAGAGAGAGAGAGAGAGAGAGAGAGAGAGAGAGAAGAGAGAGAGAGTAGTAGTATGTGTGGTGGTA